GATGGGAAAGGCGGCACAGGGCTCCGGCAGTACTACCTGTCCAAGATCGAGGAGCTGCAGGTGAGCCAGTCCTGGCTGCGCAGGAGATGCCCACCCTGCTGCCCCAGAGAGGCGTTGCCGTGGTTCCAGCCGGGGCTGCGTGGCTGTGTCCCTGCGCTCGCCTCAAGAACGCCCGTAACCTTTTCTGCGCTGTGGGTACCCTGTTCTGGAGCAAGCACCGCCCCAGGGTGATGTCTACAAGCAGGACCCAACCTTTGGGTGGTAGGGGTGTACGAGATGTGTGTTGGCCCTGTGAGCTGACGGTGCTGCTGCGCGTGTGTGTTGGCTGGTCACATCCTGCTGGGAAGGGCTGTCCCCCTCCAGGTCCCTGTCCCATCGTGCTGGTGCCCACGCTCAGTTGATGTGAGTGCTGCATGGGATGCTGAGGACTCAGCGAAGCTTTTCTCCCGACAGCTCATTGTGAACGAGAAGAGCCAGAACCTGCGGCGCCTGCAAGCACAAAGAAATGAGTTGAACGCTAAGGGTAAGGCTTAGTTCCTCATCTTCCTCACCGAGGGTTCTGGGGCTGGTCCTACCTGCTGGGCTGGTGGCCCCTGGCCCAGTTGCCAGCCTTTGTGGCAAGTGCTGGCCCTCCGCAGTGGGCAGGGGGTCAGGGCATGGGTGCTGTGTCTGGTGCTGACGTCTCCCTCTCCACAGTGCGCCTGCTGCGGGAGGAGCTGCAGCTGCTGCAGGAGCAGGGCTCCTACGTGGGAGAAGTAGTGAGAGCCATGGACAAGAAGAAAGTTCTTGTCAAGGTATGAGGCTGAGCTGTCCCGAGGGGAACGGGGGGCTGGGCAGTGGGGCTGGGGTCTGACTGACCCTCCCTTTGAGCCCACGGGACTTGGGGCAGGGGTGAGCCTGAGCTCTGGGGTATGTAACAACTAAAAGACATGAAGCGAGAGCTCTTTCTGCAGAAGAGCGTGTTGTGGCAGCTCTCCTGGGCCCAAACCTTCTCCAGGCAGGTGTGAGGCAGCTGGCTTTGGGCTTCCTGGGGGCAGGAGGGGCTGCAGGGTGTTTGGCAGTGGCTGAGCTCTCTGGCTCCTTCCTCCCGCTCCGGGCAGCAGGTGTAGATATTGGGCACGCGACAGGGGACTGCTCAGAGACATAACTCTCATGGTAGCAACTGCTGCCTTCCAGGTGCACCCGGAGGGGAAGTTTGTGGTGGATGTGGACAAGAACATCGACATTAACGACGTGAGTGTCCTGGGGACGCGACCGCTCCCTCT